TGACGATACAACATTTTCTAAGCCGTCAAGGTCTAAATGCTATACAGGCGCCTGTTTCGTCCTGCCGGGACTCATCACTGGCACCGTCCCTCGGTTTATCTGTTTTGAGAGCTGTTTTGCAATGTTATCGTATTATAGTGTTATAATGCCGGTGTTCGAAAAGCCACAAGCTCAACTGCCGGTCACCACAATGTCAGGTAATTGCGTCATCTGACTTGCGGTGACTTATTGCTCGGCGTCGATTCCTTCATAGAGGAGTGTAGCCTCAAGGGATCGGCCGAGCCGAAGGCGGTGCTACTGATGAGTTCCGGTAGGATGAAACAGGCGCCCGTATAGCACTTGGACCATCCGATCATAACATGTTATATCCTTATGAGATCATTATTGCTTGAGCTAGATCTATAGCAAAGGGGTCGAATGGAGAATGAAAACGTTTGATAGTTCGCTAAAGTATAGAGTGGTATGCAATAACTCGACTTCAGTGGTTAGTTGAACTCGCGTTTCAGTCACACTGAAAGCGTGTGCTACCACTACACCACCAAGGCCATCGCTTTGTTGCCACTGTTTCTTCGATGTGACCTATCGTAGCTCGCAGCAACCAGTCTTTAACCCTTTCGAACCCGTGAACCCACAAGGTCTAAATCTCTATGTGACAATTCTGAACGGTCTACTCCATCTCCTTCGCATCTATAACCTTAGCGTGCTGCTTCTGACAATAGCAGGCCGTTGCGTCTAACAATGTCACGCTTCTGCGTCTGACGATGACACTGGGGGTTAGAGATAAGGGACCACAGGTCCGCGGTCTCAAAAGGGTTGACGGGTTTCTTCGCATAAGCACATATCCCTTTGATGACCAACGTTGAAAGGCAGGCGCGTCACGCCGTCACTTTCCCACGAGTGCGACTGCGCCATTACAGTAGATGAGTGAGATTTGATGTCGAGCGGCTTGGCACGAAAGGTGCCATTTGGTCATTGAGGAGATCACCTGTATCACCTGTCGTCCCGTTGATCGTCGAGTGACTCGAGCGGGTACCAGCAACTCTTCCATTTTTCCCTATCGCGTGCAAGAGTAGCCCAGTGGGTCCTCCTTGCTCTAGGAATTCGCTGAGCATCATATCTTTCTTCCATCGCTTTCGTGAAGAAATCGGACCAACGGGTCAGTGGTCTTCCTTTAGAGCGCTTGACGTCCCGAGGAATCCAGTCGGTAACGGCTCTCGTCCATCGGTTGTCGTTGAAGCGCATCACGTGTCCGGCCCACCTTATTTTCGATATCCTGGCGTGTAGAACGGCGTCTCTGATTTTCGATCGTTGACGTAGGTCGGAAGTTCGGATCCTTTGTCTCATTTGCGAAATACGAGATACTCCTAGCATCGACCTTTCGACTGCGCGTTCGATAACGGCAAGTGATCTTTCATCCTGCTTACGTAGCGACCAGGTTTCTGCTGCATACGTTAGGGCAGGGATAATTGTCGAGTCGAAAAGGTGGGCACGGAGTCGGATGTTCTTTGTCCTCTTCACTACATCTTCGATGCTCTTAAACGTTCCCCAAGCCGCTCGTTTCCTCCTGCTCAACTCTGGGGCTAGGTCGTTCATCATGTTGATTTCACGACCTAGATAGATGTAACTGGAGCATTCGGAAATTGTCGTTCCGTTGAGCGTGAATGGGGCATTAGAAACCCATCCGTTCCTCATGAACATTGTTTTTCGTTAGATTCAGTTGAAGACCGATCTTTCCACAGGCGTTATCGAAATCAGTCAACATTCGTTCCGCTTGGCTGATGTTTGGTGTTATGAGAACGATATCGTCAGCAAAGCGAAGATGGTTTAATTGTCGACCGTCAATTTTCACTCCCATTTCGTCCCATTCTAATGTTCGCATGACGTTTTGTAGGGTGGCAGTGAATAGTTTTGGCGATATTGTATCGCCTTGTCGAACCCCTCTTCTTACGTCAATGGTGATATTGTTGTAGAATGGAGATATTCTGGTCGTGAAATCTTTATAAAGCTCACGAAGGATCATTATGTACCGAGTAGGGACGCCCTGGTTATCCAGAGCCTCTATAACCGCTTCTGTTTCCACTGAATCAAAGGCTTTTTTCAGATCGATAAAAGTGAGACAGAGTGGTTGTTTGTACTCTCGCGAAACTTCAATGAGTCTTGTGATCGTGTGGATGTGGTCCATGGTACTAAATCCTTTTCTGAACCCTGCTTGTTCGCATGGCTGTCCTTCGTCCAGTGTTCTGTCAATCCTGTTCAGGATGACTCGAGTAAAGAGTTTATAGACAACGGACAGCAAGCAGATTGGGCGATAATTGCCTATGTCGTGAAGGTCTCCCTTTTTGAACAACAATACGGTCTTGCTGGTTTTCCATTGAATAGGGACCTTGCATTCTGACAGGTAGCGAGTGAAGAGCCGAGCCAGGGTGTTGATGAGAACTGGCGGCAGGTTCTTCAGGTGTTCTGGTCTAATCCTGTCTGGACCGGGTGTTGTTCTGTTTTTCACCGACGATATAGCATGTCGGATTTCGGAAGGAAGGACCGGTGGAACGACATATTCGTCCTCTTTCAATTTATATGACGGTAAGAGAACATGGCTAGCGAAGAGATCCGAGTAGTACTGGTGGATGATTTTCTCCATAGCCCTTCTGGAAGCTGTAAGTGTCCCGTCAGGGTATCGGAGTGCAATCATCTTGGTCTTATAGTTGGCGAAGCCTCGCTGGGCTTTGCGAATGCTCTTCCCAGCTTCTGCAGCTTCTGCCATAACTGCTGCTCTTCTCTCTTTAAGGTCTTCTTTTATCGCTTCTCTGCATCGTTTCGCAAGTTCGGACGTAAGGTTTCGGTTGCCTGCGGCTCGTGCGATTCCACGTTGACGTATCAGCTCGAGTGTCTGCGGAGACAAGCGTCTCTTCGTGACCTTAGGACTTTCGGCTTTTTTAGCGCCAACGTGAAGATATTCAACGAGTCGATCGTATTCTTCGTCGATGTTGTCGACAACGGTATCTTCCCAAGAGCCGACTAATGATTTGAATACATCCCAGTTTATGGTAGTTCTGGGACTTCGTTGTTTGAATTTAGCGGCTTTCTCTCCTCTCCTCGAAAATCGGAACGTTGCGCGAAGGAGGCGATGGTCTGATCCCGTGTAGAACTTGGGAACAACAGCGACGTCGGTCAGGCAAAACCTTCGATTTACTATGATGTGATCTATTTCGTTATGGTACTCTCCATTGGAGACTCCCACGTCCATCGCTGAGAGAGAGGCTTTTGGAATTGCGAGTTACCATGGATGGTTTGGGTCGTCATGATAAACTCGGATAGCCTCTCACCCTGTTCATTCCATTCTAGTCCGTGGGTCCCTATGTGACGTTCTTCAGACGTTCTTCTAGGTCCAATTTTTGCGTTAAAATCTCCGACAATGACCTTGAAGAATGTATGATCTTCTCTGAAGAATTTTTCGAGGTCCATATAAGAACGCTTCGACTTCGTCTTCGTCATAGCTTGATGTTGGTGCGTAAGCAACGAAGATGGTCAAAGCCGGCATAGAACCACATCGTTTCAACCGTAATCGTCCGATGCGGGTTGTTAGTTGTTCGAACGAATCAATGTTCACGGTCAAATTCGATTTGACGAGGACGCCAACGCCACCGACACCTCTGCGATCGCATGTTCCAAGGAACAGTTCTTCTCCGGTGTCATAGACAGCGTGAAAAGGATGGCGCCTTCTCGTCTCAGCCAGCCAATGACGTCGTACCTTATTCTTCTTGCTTGAATCAACAGATCTTCTACAGCGGATTGTTGAGCAAGGGTTCTTGCATTGTAGGTACAGATCGTCATTTTAGTCCGTTTCGACTTCTTGGCAGCCTAGTTCGGCCCTGAGATTTTAGCAGCCTCTCCGTACTCGTCCTACCTGGCGCTGCCGTACCGGGGCTCTTCGGGGTCAGGGGAATGAGGCCATATTTGTTACTGTTTTTGGCATTTTTGATAACCCAACGTGTAGCTTGCAGGCTCTAAACGTGGGGGCTGGGTACTCACGAGTACTTGCCAGTCTCTCTCGGAGGAGCGGGAGGAGCTTATTTGTTGGAGGCGACTCCTAACGCCTCCCATGTACTTCCCAGCCGCTTGATTGCAGGCTTTTGGCCGACTTGACTCGTAGAAATAGAGTTTTGTCAAGTCGGCACTGCAGAAGCAGGGAGCTCGGCCATTAAATTCAACTTAGCTGACAGCTAATCGAAATGATTGATCTATTTGACTCAATATTTCAATGTTTTCAACGCAGTATTATGATGTTATGAAGGTCATTAAGAAGTATAGATTGTAGATGTGGTTATCGAAGAAGAGTGATAACGAAGGGTCGCCTTGGTAGTGTAGTGGTAGCATGCTCCCGCGGTTTGGGTGGAAATCGGGTTCAAGTCCCGCCTGAGGTTTAATTTTTGCTTAATACTCTGTACTCTTGAGTGATTATAATAGCCACGCATCACTGTTCAGAAAGCTGTAAAAATGTCGAGTTCAAACGGTCTTGTAGTTGATATTAGAGGTTAGTTCAAAGACGTTTTAGACGAGGTCGGTGGTGTAGTATTTGATGCAGGCTCACACAGTTTTCGTGTCGGATTTGCTGGAGAGGAATATCCAAAAGTTTTCTTCACCTTTTCTTTTTGTCTAAAGTTTCACATGTCAGATAGTTTTCTGTTCGTTTTATACAGGGATTTCTTTTTTTTTCTCTCATTTTTCTCCTTTTTCATGTTTTTTTTTCAGACAGTAGATTCTATAAAAGCGTTTAAATGTTCATGTACTAGGGCGATATGCCGTCTTTTGTGGCCGTTCGAGAGATTGAACCAGATGGTGATATGGAATCGAAAGAAATAGCAGAATCGGACAACAATGTGAAGTCGAAACGAAATATCTTTATTGGGACAACAAGCATTGTTGTTCCATAGAGCCAACACAACAATACAGAGCTTCATGAAGGATGGCATGAGTGAGTTACTTTCAGGATAGCATAGCTTCCTATTGAAAAAGTCCTATGTTATTCCAGACAGAAACGACAATAACTCTTCTTCAAAATAAAGACCATCGTTTTCCACGACTTTCTGCCATCGGTCCGCCAAGATTCGGATCTTGGCGAAGTACTATCCTTTTAAACGCTGAATCAAAGAACTGCTGACATGTTTCTTCAACTTCATCAAACAATTCAAATCAGCGACCCTTCATAAAGTGTTGCAATGATCGTCGGAAAAGGCCATAGTCGGATGAAGCGCAGTTTGTACTGTAGGCGGGATACGGCAGAACCCGACTGTTTTTCCCTTCAACTTCATCAATTAACTCAATCCGCTGTGAAGCTTTTCTCCAATAATGACGCAAGAAAACACAAACTTTGCTTCTATTGTTGG